CCGTCTAATGCCTTACAACTATCATCTTGTCTACAAACCTGATAAAGATGAGAAAAACTCAGCTGACTTCCTTAGCCGACACCCAAATTGCTCAGAGCCCCAACCGGAAAGCGTTGCTGAAGAATACGTCAACTATGTATGCGCCAATGCCGTGCCCACCGTCATGACCTTTCAAGAAATCCAGCTTGAAACGTCAGTTGATGACACAATGCAAATGGTCATTCAAGTCATCGAAACCAACAATTGGTTGGATCCGTCCACGACCGAATACAAGAAAGTGAGTGACGAAGTGTCAGTGCATAAAGGAATTATACTTCGTGGACACCGAATCGTAATACCCACCTCCTTAAGACGCCGGACAATCCATCTCACACACATTGGTCATCAAGGAATCATTAAAACCAAACGTCTACTCCGCTCGAAGTCTGGTTTCCTAATATCGGCAAGATGGTCGAAGAAACCATTCAGAATTGCCTCCCATGCCAGGCTGCTACTTCGGGCAACCACCCTCCACCTGAGCCACTCAAGATGACCCAGCTGCCATCCGCACCTTGGAAAGAAGTTGCAATGGATTTCCTGGGCCCTTTTCCAACCGGCGAATACCTCCTAATCGTAGTCGATGCATTTAGTCGGTTCCCTGAAGTTGAAGTACTCACCACGGTTTCCGCAAAAGCTGTCCTTCCAAAGTTGGATGCAATATTTTCACGCTAAGGCCTTCCAGAAGTTCTGAAAAGCGACAATGGCCCACCATTTAACGGTGCCGAGTATGAGTCATAGGCCAAGCACTGCGGTTTTACTCTCCGCAACATCACGCCATTCTGGCCTCAAGCAAATGGAGAGGCTGAGCGTTTTATGCGCACACTACAAAAGTGTATACGGGCTGCAATCATCGAGAAGAAAAACTGGAAGCAAGCGATGAACCAGTTTCTTCTCAACTACAGGGCAACCCCCCATTCCACTACTAACATATCCCCCTCCGAAAGCCTCAACAATAGGAAGGTAAAGACAATGTTACCGGAGTTGCCTTCTACTTCAAAACAAGAACAGAAAGCAATGGCTGAATATGATGCTCGGAAGAAAGAACAACCGTCGGGGTGCCAAGGAAAGTTGAATCAAACCAGGTGACACCGTCCTTTGAAACACCCGAAGGAAACAAATTCAGTGCTCCATACAACCCTCAACCTTTTGTCGTAGAAAAGAAAAAGGGAACAATGGTCACTGCCAAGAACGATTCAAAGGTTGTCACACGAAACTCCTCGCAATTCCAGGTGATCTCAACCAAGTCAGCCAAACACGATGACAAGGAAGTTGAACCAAAGGTTCCAAGACTATCAAACCTCCAAGAACAAAAAACGCTTCAACAAAGACCGAAACGGAATGTAAGACAGCCAGCAAGGTTCGCAGACTATTTAAATTATGAACTAATGTGAACCAAATGACAGTTCGGACAATATCACTGTCTACAGATATTAGTCGAAGGAACAGTGACTTGGACATGTTAATGTTTATATTAATAGATGGAACTATCATCTGACAAAGGGAGGGATGTAATATAGTTAATAAGCTCATTGTTGTTCTGTTGCCTTGGCGCGCAGGTGGACCGCGTGCGAGGTCTGAGACTAAGGGTAATTGGCGCCAATAGTTCTAGTTTGCATGTGTGTGTATACAGAATAGGTTATTAAAAAAAGTGTTCAACGTACTACAACATTACAGCGAGGACATGTGAGGCAAGCAGGGTGTATCAGCTTACAGAAAACACACCTCTTCCTTTACAGAAGGCTGTGCTAACAGTTTCTCCCAACAAGAAACAGCTGATGTCTATAATTTGCAACAACATTATCAACGATGAAGCATTCCATATTCAACATACTATGGGGAAGAAGCTGGTTATCATAGGTAGCGACGCGAAGATGTCCCAACCGAGATCCACAAAGGGCTTGTCATTGCAAGGAAAGACATTGCAACATCTCACGAAGAAGCAGATAACATCATTGTACAACAAGCTATCATGTGTGGAAAAGACGAGCAATCTGGTGCTACAGTTGTTGTTGCAGATGACACAGATGTGTTTATTCTGCTCCTGTATCATTCTTGGAACGAACGTCTTACCTGCCCAATGTTTAGGATCTGACCGATTCAGCAAAGATCACTTATCGACATTAAGACCACTGTACAAGCCCACCGTACCATCATACCTGGTTTACAAGCAGCCCATGCGGTATCCGGTGGTGACACTGTACCTACATACTTCGGAATTGGCAAGGGAACTGTCTTGAAGAATCTTATTGCTGCTCCCAACTCGTTGTCGCTGTTGGGATGTTCAGATGCGCCACTTCCTGATGTGGTTGACCAGGCAACAAAATTTATCAGTGCTTGCTACAGCAAAACAGTTCATGAAAAGACGATGTCCGATGTCAGATACAAGATCTGGACAACGAAGTTTGGAAATACTGCGACTTCAGTCCCAAAGATACAAGCACTGCCACCTATCACAGAAGCATTTGTAGAGAACGTGAAGAGAGCCCACCCTCAGACCGTTATTTGGAAAGCAGCACTGACCCTAGATCCGCCTACTCTTGATCCAGTCGAATACGGATATGTGAGACATGAGCCTTCCAAGTCATTGCTTCCAACAACTGTACCAGACGGTGTTACATTGGCGCCAGATGATATAATGTCTCTGATCAAGTGCAACTGTGAAGGTGCCTCAGCGTGCAGAAACATGTGGTGCAGCTGCAATCGCATCCTCGTATCCAGGGTCTTTTTGGGAAAGACACTGGTATCGGCTGGTCACGTGACTCTACAAAAATTGATTGCCCAAGGGGAGTGGCAAAGTATCAAATTACATGCTTTCACAGAAAACGTTAAATTTCAAATACCAGGAGTGGGATTTTACGATATGTAGTTCGAAGCGCCCGCTAACTTCAATTTTATACCTCCGTTTGCTTTTAAATTACAAAAATATTGTACTCTGTAGCCATTTTATCAAGAGTCAAGTCAAGAAACAAATAAAATGTATAGTTTAAACTTTGAAGTTGGGTATTCTCTAAAAACATATTTTCATATCAAACTGGCCAGTCGTGAACGTTTGTACATTTTCACTTTTATCTGTTCCGAAAATATGCCATTAGATTTGTTGTTTAAAAACGCTGATAAACTTTGTGCAGATTTAGTAATAATACGAGTCTCATTTTATAGTGAAGGTTGATATTATAAAATTTTGAAATGTAATTAACTTTTTGTCACAAATCACAATGTAAACATGTGGACACTGCCGAACAGAGACTAAATGCTCACTTCAAAACTGTCTGTTTTAATTAAATAGTTCGTAATATTTATTAAAAAACCCTGTAGATCGGTAGGGTAGGAGCATAGATATCTTATATAAGATATCTATGGGTAGGAGGTTGGCAGATAGTAAAGTTCCATTTTCCGGCTCAGGGCGTGTGCCATCAGGTGATATATACAATCACGGCTTTAGCCTGACAATTTTTTGGCCTCCATGCACTAAGTAATGGGGTAACTACAATATTCATAACAGTATTTTTCTGATATACAGTACACACTTTATAATATGAACATAGTCATAGATAATTCCATAAACCACGGAATAAACAACGGCATAAACCACGGCATAAACACTGATATCATATATTCATATGTACCACAGATATATTAACACTTACATAGACTTAGAGTTTGATTCAGTATATTCGTATATTTCACAAAGTACTTCATTACAGTAAAGTAATTTCATTACAGTATTTGCTAATGTCACAATTAAAGCTATTTATCAAATTTATCATGCGGACTGCATTCTCGAAATGTCCTAAATGTCAAACATATACAGTATTCGTATTTGTATATAACATACACGCACAAACGAGTCTTTGACTTATCTTTGAGTAGGCTATTGTCGGATTATTTTAAAGTAGGTTTGATAACCGGGAGGTATACTTCGACATATTTCTTGAGCATCAAGTCTCAACAGATTCTGGTTTTTCGTATCTCTGAGGATGGTTGTGAAGTTTCAGCAGCCCGAGTAGCATTGTTTACAAGCAACATTGTTTGCGATATTTCAGAAATCAAAAGATCTCTATATTTCGTTCCAATCTCAGTATTAAATAAATCCTTGTAGTTTAGGATAGACACCAACAGCTAAATAACAGCCACATCGGTCGGTACTGGTGTAGAAATATATTTTCTTGTAACGTTTGCGACGTGTTGATTTCTTCGACGAGCTGTATCGGCATATAAATTTGTCTATTGAAATCTGATCTATCTTTGCTCACCGACATTCTGCGCACAATGAAATTTGATATTTACTGTTGTGTAACATTGGTAGTCTTCATGACAAATAAAATATACAATTTTGTAAATATTTCCTGCATAATTTCTGGGTTATTTCTTCGCTCACTCCTTGCTCAATGACAAAACGTACTTAGGTACCCACCCCAATTGAAATTGTTTGTTATCTCCCAGATTCTGGGAGACACGTGACCAGCCGATAGCAGGGTCTTTCCCAATCTCGTTCCCCGAGCATGCCCGTTCGCAGGTTAAGGGTGGGCATAGCTCTGGAGAAATCGAATTGATTCAGGCCTGTGATTGGCTAACGGCAGATAGTACGTTGGATTTCCAACGTGAGTTCTACGCATGCTTGGCAATTGTTGCAAAATATAAACAAAGTATTTGGAATTTCTCGTCGAAAATTTGCTACTTTTTTACACTGAAATCGATTGAAAACAACTAGAAATTCTGGAGGAAATATGTGCGAAAGCTTAGGATTGATAGGGATACAACTACCTGAAAAATACAAGGAGAACTTCGACGTTTCGAGCGAAGGCGCTTCGACTTGTGCTGTTAATGTTTGTATACATCGTACTTGACCTTTTATATACTGTCATACCTAACACTACGTATACCATAAATTCTGACAGAAGAGTTAAATGTAAATTTTAAAGCATCAAAATATATAATACTTATTATTGAGGAGATTATATGTATCAGCAAAGGTCAAGTACGATGTATACAAACACTAAACAGCACAGGTCGAAGCGCCTTCGCTCGAAACGTCGAAGTTCTCCTTGTATTTTTCAGGTAGCTGTATCCCTATCCAACCGAAGCTTTCGTACATATTTCCCACAGAATTTTTAGTTGTTTTCAATTCAATTTCAGTGTAAAATGTATCAAATTTTCGACGCGAAATTCTAAATACTTTATTTATATTTTGCAACATTGCCGAGCATGCGTAGAACTCACGTTGGAAATTCAACGTGAATCAATTCGATTTCTCCAGAGCTATGCCCACCCTTAACCTGCGAACGGGCATGCTCGGGGAACGAGATTGAAG